TACTAATGAATATCCCCCAAGCTCTGTAATTAAGGAGCAGCACTACTCCATGCATATTCTCCTGCCTTCCTGGGGCAAGAAGCAGACAGAGAACATGCTGGAGAAAAGAAAAACGTTATTATCCTAGCATCATTATCACATATACCACGCATGGCTTCATGGAATGCATCATCTGACATCTGAAACTCCACTCTTTTTCTTCATGTGTATCATTTGGACTTTGACAGCATGAATGGGGACATTAACAAACGTCGTTGTGTTACGACTTTCACTCATTGTCTTCATCATGTTTCTCATTCCCTTTGCTCCCACAAGGCCGGAAAGATAGCTGTTTCATTTTCTATTCGTTCTTCCATCAAATGTATCCTTGCTATCTTTTTGAACACAAGTGCAGTAAATATAATCCATGGTTACTTGAGTTATTCTGCACTCTCTGCTGACTGACTTTATGCAGTCCTTATATAACAGTGAAGGTTTATTGGATGCCAGCCACTTCGGTGTTGAATTTATAACTTATTATGCTCATTTTTATTTGCTGTTACTTTTTTTTCTCAGTGAGCATTTGGCTTTAAGCGCAGAATGGACTAATGTAATCTGATGACTTCCAGTAAATATTGAAAGGTTGAGGTTGAAAAGGTTAATTAAAATGCCAATCAACCAATATTCAAAGATTGATTTGATGATATACAAATATGAGGGTGTTCTAGTTGTTTCAGTTAAGTTTGATTTATCTCTATTTTTAATGCCAGCCTGGCTACTGTGGCTTTTCAAAGTATGTGATGAAATGCTTTGGTAACACACATCTGAAGTTGTCTTCTCAAAGCAAAATTCCACACTGCCGACGGCTGTTTTCTTGTTCAATTACTGTTTGGAAAAAGATCACACTAGGTTCTCTAATATGTTTGTGGATTGTAGATTACATTCACATCACTGAGAACAAAGCTCATTTGTGAATAGAACTTGTGACGTTTTAGAGATGAAGCTTAATGTGCTGCAGGTGTATCACATCCTATGCTGAGAGGATGGAAACTCCTCCATGCTCTTCATCCTCTCTCCACACTCTGTTTGGAAATTCAAGCCAACCAAATCAATCTCTTTTTATACACTGTAGCACATTTCATAGATCAAAAAGCGGAGAAGATTAAGGGGAATATGAAACCCATTTGCCCATAAGTCAACTTGACACAGTGCTCGAGGTAGATTTGTCAGTTTGCTGGGAGCTCACAGATGATCGTCCCAATGCTCCACTGGGTTGTAGGAATCTGCACTGAATTCCAGATTATATAGCTCCTATTTACAAATGGTATAGTATAATTAATATGATATGTGTTGAAAGCTGTTGTAATAAAGAAGGGTAGTGTCGACATCACTTTCTTTTCTTTCCTTGTTTCACTTATTTAGACTCCTGCTCTACCAAAAACGTTCTATCATTTTTACCAAATATTGTCCTGTTCCCCCACTATGTGTTGCCATGTCTCCCTCCCATGTGGCATTAAGATGTTTCAATCTCTGCACTGAGGTACATGACATAAATACCTTGAGTTTCTGGGAACAAGCGGCCTCACATCAGAGAGATGTGGTTCCTCTGCAGGGGGAAGGCTGATAAGAAACATAACACAGTGTGGCAGCTGTTCTGTAGCTGTACAACTGTAGAGAGAGAAACCTGAGTGTGAGTGGAGCAGCTCCATCTCACTGAGAGACAGCAGCAGGACAACACTGTAGGTCAGCATCTCCTTCTGAAAAAGACCTAACGCTGTGAGTGTGCTCATGTGGGAAGAAGCTACACTGCCTCCTAGTAAACCCTTAGAGAAGTACTTGTAGGAGAACTTGTTCTTGATGATATGATGGATGTTTCAGAACAATTAAGAGAGCCTGATATTTAAATTAAGTGATATATATTTTCACGCCACCCTCTGACAAAAGCCAGGCGTATTCTTTCTATTTGACTCTCTCACCCTTTCTCAGGCCCATTCTTACCACAAGCTATTTTAAAGATAAGAAGAGGCTGTTATTTATATGGTAATTCCCCAAAGAAACACATCACGTATTAGAGCACCACTGGTTAGAGTGGGGGATGAGGTTTATGTATGTGTGTGCATTTGTTCCACATTGACCTTGTGCTGATATCATTTCATTTTAAAGGCATGCTATTGTGTTTGTGTTTGATTGTGTATGTGCTCTCTACCAGGGGTCCCCAACTACTGGGCTGCGGAGGTGTTACTGCCGGGCCGCGAAATAGCTGTGAGTTTATCGTAATATTTGCAGAATTATAAATATATAAAAATATTTTATCAAAAACAATTCAATGAATTTTTATTTTTAATTTTTATTTTATACCAGTCATATTATTTCATCCAAAACATACAAAATAAATCAAAATTGGTTAGCATAAGGTCTCAGCCACTCGTGCGCAGATAAAGTTACAGGTGGTGGAAGTGGAGCACACAGGAGACAACCGTTTAATCGCAGACTGTTATGTTTGTGGGGGAATGGCAGTGCATACATTATTTGAGATATATTTCGAACTCGGCCTTCATTTTAAGGACATTGCGGCCAGGGGTGTAGAGCTATTTTTTTATTTGTAAAGCCTCCTTCACTTCATGAAATGGCTTCAGCATCAGGAGGCAGCCTCTGAGAAGTGCAGCACCAGCGCGTAACCACCGTCTTCACTGTGTTCCCCACTGCAGGCTGCTACGTTTCAACCACAGAGACCTCTACACACACACACACATCGAACGGCCCGATTATTCCCCCTATTACTCGTTGTATGAAGGAAATGTCCGGTCACAAAGGCACATGATGTGTGTGTGTGTATGTGCTCTGCTCAGCACCGCTGTGTGTGTGTATGTTCGGTGTGTTTGTGTGTGTCCAACAACGGCATTTGTTTTCAAATGACCATGAACAGTAATTTACACACATCTGGCCAACTCCATAGGTATGTGGGTGTTCCCAAAAGAAGTTAGTTTAATCTTAATCTCGATGTAGTGCTAAATGCTGTAAGAGTGCACCGGAGCGAACGCCCCGGTATGATGTTATTATGGCTGGCAAACAAGCCCAGCGGTCTCACTGACATTTCAGTTATATCAATATGTGTACAGTGGTCCTAATTTGTTTTAATTGTATCCTAGTTTTAAACTGTGTTAATATGTTTTGGATGCATATTGTTCTATTATTTGTTCAGGCTGTTACATACAATTAGCCACTGTTGCCACCTATATTAGGCTATATTATATAATATTAATATTTGTAAAGCGGTCCTAATTTTTTGTTTTAATTGTATCCTGGTTTTAAACGTTGTTAATATGTTTTGGATGCATATTGGTATTTCTTCAGGTTGTTAAATACAATTAGCATCTGTTGCCACCTGCTGGTGAGTAAATATTCAAATCAGTTAAAAATGACAACCGGTCCGCGAATGTATCTGCTGGTCCTTGGCACAATAAACGTTGGGAACCCCTGAGATAGAGCACACTGTTGAGATGTCCAATCTGCCTGTTTTACACACTTTGACCAACAGGGGGTTTGTGTTCAAATGAAGCCCATGATGAAGCCTCATGAGATGAACCCTTTTGCGAACCAATTGGCTGGAAAGCTTCAAAGCTTCATCTCGCCATCACTAGTAAACTCTTTATTTGATTGTAATCTGACATTACTTCAAACATTTTAGCACAGCTAACACAAGTATTTGTTTGTATTAATTACTTTCTTTGTCTCTTGAGTTACCATGTCCATTGGGGGAGGTTACTTCCTGGTTCAGCAAAGGGCGTGGCCGAGCACTGTGGACTCATAAATACTGCAAGGAGCCAATTGGGACAAACCACCTGCTTCCATGTCAAAGGGGGGATTTGGGATGTGTCAGTGTCCTTTGTGTTTTCTGTTACTATTAATTATCCCTTGGTTTCAACTTGGTTTGGCCAAGCCACATATAGGTTCCTTAGTTTTTCATTGTAGCAGGTGTAGGTGGTATGCACCATTTAAGTTGTTTGCAATCTGCCAAGAAGAAGAAGAAGAAGAAGAAGAAGAAGAAGAAGAAGATTTT